ATATTCTTATAGAAAAATTGTGTATTTAAATTTTTTATTCCTCTATTCATGGAATCCATGAATATTGGTGCCAAACAACACTTGTGATTAAACTTGTGTCCTGTTCTGCACACTTTTGTAATCCCTGGGTTGTTTGTCGCTTGTGATAATAAGTTTGATATCCATGGTTTTAAATTTTGAAAACATATCATACATGTATATATAGACAACATGAAATCATACTTCAATCCTCAAATTAATATGTTTGTCATGTAGGTGACAATGAATCTTTGACTACACTCAGAATTAGATAAATCACCATTATTTGCAAAATAAAATCCAGAGATTCAAGAGAAATCATTGTGAGAATCTGTATTTTCTATTAATGCTTATTTTTCAGCCTCAAAGACTTTAACACAAATAGAAAAACTGAATTAAATGATGTAGACAAATCACTAATTGGAGACCTGTCAGACCTGGAAATGCACCTTCTTAGCTCGCAAGATCTGATAATCACCAGGGGTAAAGTAAGTATTGAGATACTTTTTGTATCCTGATAGGTTCCTTCATTGACTGTGCTTTCATGAGACACTTTGCCATGAGGTCTAATTTGTTAAATGATTCTTAATGAGAAAATATCTTCGATCATCAATGAATAGAATATTTGTACAATGAAACCTGTCCTAACCGAACACAGTCCAGACTTTGTGTTTTGTTTGGTTTTCACATGTATTCAGATTGCAGAGTTTAACAGAATTGAATAGTTTAAAATCAATTTAACACTTACTGACAAGAACACCAAGTAAAACGAAATACAACAAGTTTCATGTTGATTTCAATGTTAAAAAAAAGAAAATGAAATAGATTATAGAGATATTTAAAGATCAGAAAAACAAATAGCAATTTTTTCATAATCAAATACAAGTTCAAACTGTTCATTGATCAAATTCCTTTTTAAAAATTTAATAAATATTTCAGTGTAGCTAGATTTCCTTCACAGTGATGTCCTTGGTTATTTGATTTATTTCTTCAGTTTGATTTATAGTATACATAGCAAATATTCTTCAACAACTTAGCCTAAAAACATCCAAAATATCGGTATGAATCAAATCTGGGGCCTCGGTTTATTTTTTGTGTGTCTACATCATTGTCTGATTCAATTATTCAAAACCAGATTTCTCCACTGATCAAGTCTGTTAATTACTGATGATGTGACTAATTTGTCATCAACATCATCAGTTTCAGTAATTTATCTGCAATCTAAGATCTTAATAAACTAATGTGATCACAGCATGCATCATTGCAGATCTTCCGACTTGTTTGCATTCGATGGCCCTTTACACAAAATCATATTTAGCATGGTATATATATATCTTTACGTTTGTGAAATTCATGGAAATTGACTCAAATTTTCAATGAATTCCAATTTGAAATCAAGAAAATATTGTTTCGTCCTTTAATATGGTGATGGAAATTTTTTATTATTTTGATTAAAATGGAGTGTATCTCAAAAGTTTTAACGACACATACATGCAAAAGCTTAGTTGTATAGAAAAATAATTTCATCAAACTTCAAATACCCTTAGGGATCAACTGTTGTGCATGCAAATCATTGCAAAACTAACATTGTTTTGAATGCTATCAATCTGTTTTGACAGGTTTTTTTATACACAATGTCATTTACTATAAAATGTGTTCTGTATTCGATGATCAGCAGGATTCTGTTTGTACAGGTTAAAATAATGTTTATTAATAGGGAGATTTTTACGAAACTTGGAAACTGTTTGGTTTGACATGAACTTCGGATTAATCAGGGTTCAGTTTTTACTGTATTTCCAAATCTTTTAATGTTTTATTGTCATCTGTCGGAGAGGGTAGTAAAACAGGGAGCATGTCTATGCATGAACATCAATGCAGTAAGCATCTGTTCATACCATATTTTATTTCAGTAGTTATTCATAAAATATTTTCTTAAAAAAAATCTTTTTATTTTGACAGCGTTGTAGACCTGTACCAGTTCTTGTCCCTGAAGATGTTAAACCAGCTCTGAACTATATTGCAGATTTAAATAATCGAAGAAAGGCAAAAATTAAAGATTCCAAAAAGTACCTGTTTGCAACAAAAGGTAACATTTGCCCCTTATTTTTTTAATTCTCCATATAAGAGTTTTTTTGCAGTCAAAATGAGAAGTCCCAAGTCTTGACTTTTAAAAACTTTTAAAAAAACTTATTTTGTTTAATGTATTTGAAAGTGCTGGATCCTGTGTAACAAAGAAGGAAGTAGTTAGAATCCTTGTTTTTCTTAAAAGTCTGTACACTTTTTCAATGCCAACTTCAATAAGATTTCTATTTCATTTTTTGGTGAGTTAAGCTATTCTCAACTTATATTTTATAGTGTGTCTTTTCATTTTGTTATGATACACTATAGTCTCAGGTTTATAGGGTGAATATTTCCGCCTGTTAAAACATTCAAATCTGCTGCATTTTTATGCACCTGTATGTCGTCATGAGCCTGTTGTTCAGTAGTTGTTTTTTATTGGTGCGGTTCATAGGCATAGTTGCCAACCTTCTGCCATAAGAAATAATGTCATGACATGACAAAAAGTGTGTAAAAGCATGTAATAGCACACATGTCATGCTTTTCCCTCTGAAAAACACCCTACTAGATTAAAAAAACATCAATAAAGTATTATAAACTAAACTTGTAATCATATAACATGGTTACTTGTTTATTTTATCATGTATAAAGCTACAATTTATGCCAGTTCCTGTATTGAATGATTCAATTCAGCAGTTCAGTTTATGAAAGCTACACATTTAACAGGACTCACACTTCCAGTTGGTTGCTGATTGTTTAGATTAACAGAACGTTAAAAAGCTTATACTAATTTTTCCAGAAGTAATATGCATTCATTGATATCATCATATAATAGATTTTACTGAACAATTTAGTTGAAATTGGTATTTATAATCATGATAAGCATGAGTTCATAAATTGTCAGGGAAATGACAACTTGAAAGCTGTTTTATGACCGCTGTATTGCCGGCCAGAATTCCCTACTTTTGTTCAAGAGTCTTCCTGTGATTGTTTTGTGTGTTATCCTTTCATTGATCAGAGTCATAATTTACAAGATGCGGGGAATGAATAACTGAATATATTTGCTTAAAACACCTTCCCTTATGTTTTTCAGGCAATCACTCATTCTTTATTTGCCTAAAATCAACTAGAGAGTTCTAATCAAAATACAAAATAGATCTAGAAACATTAATGTGCACACAATATTCTTAATTTACAATAGGTCTAGACTGGTTTTCTACTTCACAACTAAATCGCTGTTCATGTGGAACAAAACTAAAAGTTTTGATTTATTTTTCTGGTGTGCGTGAGTTTGATTCAACAATCAACACCTGACAGGATATCAATTGCTTTATACAAATTGTGATACACATTCTTTACTGACAGATAATTATCAGCATGTTTTGGTCGTTAAATATTTTTCGATATTTTTTTTTTCTTGGATAAGTTAAAATTTTTAATTACATTAATTTTAATGAAAAAAAAACAATACAAAGTGCAAGGAACTGCATTATTTCTATGCATTACACTCATTGTTGTGGGACGTCAGCGGAGTGAAATATGTGACAAAATGGTTTTATTTTACTGGAAATCATGGTATTAGGATACTATTGCATTGTTGAATAGATTTATTAATAAGATGTAAAATTGTTTTTAATTGCTAAAGTAATAAATTAAATTTATTCTAGGTGCAGGAGCAGTTAGAAGTTATGACTCGATCAAAAAGATATGTAGTGAATTATCCTTGACAAGTCCTGAAAGAATAACATCAACTGCACTTAGAAAATACACTGCCACACTTGCTCAGGTTTGTGTCATCTTTTGAAAACAACATTTGTGTAATTTTATTGACTTTTGTAGTCCAATGGAGACATATACTCTTTTTTTTTTCTTTTTCATTGGCATACTTAATTACATTCTAGTGTTTTCCCTATCGCACAAAAAAGGCATGGTAACTTTAATGAAACATGAGCGCATGAAAAAAATTGACAAAAGGGCACCTAGAGAATACTTAGAAATAAAGAAAAGGCAATGAATTGTCATATCGCATTGGTAAATTATAGACTGGCAGTTTTTGATGGAATCTAAACTCAACATAGCAATCAAAGTGTATTATTTTAAAATATTTCATGTTTTTAGATATCCACCTAAATTTGTTTACTTTCAACCTCATGGCTGTCTGATCTCTATTTGTGAATGCATTATTTGCTTTACAATGAAATTAGTCAAAGGACCAGTTTAAAATTTTGCACAAAATGGCTGATTGTTCAAGTCAAAACATTCAAAGAATTCATAGAATTTAGTAATTCCATTGATTTTTATTATAAAGGTGTAATACCACCAAATCATAGTAGGTCACATCAGGTTGCATAAGAAAAAGGGTTGAAAACAAATATTCCCTTGAATTTGAAAGATGTATGAAATTAATCCTACATTTCATTTCATTAAAATATTTCTGTGTCATAGACATATATCTTGGGTGTTTCAAAGCACTATTATTTTTTTCATTGGGTGTTTCCATAGAATATTTGTAAACTTGAGTTTACATGGTTACTAAAGCTTGTACATAGATAGAAAAAGGGTGAATATTTGATAAGTTAACTTCCAGTGATGATTATTTTCTTGTATGCAATGAAACGTTATGTGAAATTTTGTCTATAGTACTGGACAGGATAAAACAACTCATTCCAAGTATTTCTAAATTCTTATATTCGGACAATTGAACACTGTTTAACTGATTAGATATAACAGATTAACTTAGTATTGTGGTACAGCACAGTATTGCGCAATAGCAAAAATATGAAATTGAAAATAAATACAAATCTTTTAACCAATTTCAAAGAGATTAATTTAAAGTCTTTAATTTTTGGGGGTTCTAACCTTATATTACTATTTTGGATATTGGGCTCCATTTTTAAATTGGTCTACATTAAGGTCCAAAGGGTTCAAAATTAAACTTTGTTTGATTTCATTGAATTATTGTGACTCTATGATATGCTGAATCTTACTGTGCATTTATATTTTTTTATTTTGGGCCCTGTTTTCAAATTAGTCCATATTAAGGTTTGAAGGGTCCAAAACTAAACTTTGTTTGATCTCAACTAAAATTTAAAATTTATGGTGTTTTTTATATGCTGAATCTTTAACCATGTAGTTAGATTTTAGATATCAGACCATACTAGGTAAATTAAATGTCCCATTTGAAATTTTAAAGAGATTTGACCACATTTGTTTTGGGTTAGAAACCTTTATTATGTCAAAAATTTGATCACAATCCAAATTCTTACAGTATCATGCAAGCCTGAATATTGTGTCCCTAACTTGCTCCAACTATTCAGGATTCAACTTCTGTGGTCGTATTAGACTGTGATTGACGAGAAATGTTATTCCTCCAGTTAACATTACAAACAGTCTCCAGTTAAAGTTTTTAAAACATAAATAAGTTTCTGGTACCATCCTCACCCAGGATTTTTACCAAATTTGGACTGGATATTCCTTATAATCAGAAGATAGTATCCATTTGGAAATATTGTAATATGTTTTTTTCAGTGTAAGAGTATATTATTTATGAATGGGCTCAGTTTTTCTCAATGTAACATATAGTTTGCAGTTAAATTTTTTAAACCATCCTGGATTTTTTTCAGATTTTAACAGAAATATCTTTATGAACTATTAATAATACATGGGAAAATAATACTTATTTCCATAGCTCTGTATTTTACTGATAAATGGACATAGTTTTTTAGTTAAAGTTTGTATACAGTCAATTTGCTCATAGTTTATTCATGATTTGAAAAATTTAGATATATATGCAAATTATTCCACTATAGTCTATAATACACTGAAAAGAAAGTCACAGTGTATCATCAGCTAAGTAGTCAGTACTATCGATCAGCACTGACCTGATTTATAACAATCCTTTTTAGAATTGTCCGTTTATAAATTTTGAAATTATAAAGAAAGTGAGATTTGAAATCCCTCAGGCAAAGTTGACTTGAAATGGCCTTGGCTTTTTTGAGGTGTTTTGTTATGTAGCTCTTCAATTTTTTTGGTTCTTATACGTTCTCAGCTTTCAAATATTCTTCTTTGAGAATTCCTGATAAGGTAAATCCAGTTAAGCACTTCAGACACATGAAATTATTTCATTTTTTTAGTCAAGACACAAGCTATGTGTCACTTAAACCTAACTAATGTTAGCGCAACTATTGGCTTATAAAGCCATGTCAGCCATTGTCATTATGTGGTGTCCATTGTCATTGTCAATCATTTTTGTCAACTTCTTTGTTTAAAATTGAAGATTTGTCTTTAAATTTGGTACAACTTTTATTTATGGTATTAAGAAGAAAGCTGTTAATGTTTTAAATTATTCTACCAAAAAAAATGCAATCATTCCTAAAAAAAGATCAAAGGATAAAATTGAAGTCTGCCAGAAAAATTACTCAAAACTGTTACAGATTAACAAAATATATGTATTCCCATCTTGAATATCTTAAAAAATAAGAAATAATGTGTTCTTTCTGTGTGATGTCATCAGGCATGGTCGCCTTTTTACCTGCGTCACCAACGGTGAAAGCAAGTCTAGTAACCGCTCAACTAGGTCCGTCATTCCATCATTCCGTCATTCCGTCCGTCCGAAAGACCTTGCTTGTCAACTTTCCACAAAGATTTCTTGGCTTCTTTGAAAGGGAATGATTTTATATTTGGTCCAGAGCTTGATCATGTTGAGTTGTAACGTGTAGGCAATTTTTAGATCTGTGGTGCAGCCACTTTCTGTTTGCCGATAGTTTGAAATTTAGCTACTCAATGTACAAGGAAAATTTTTCGTCAAAGTTTTCTTGGCTTCTATGAAAGGGAATGATTTTATATTTGGTCCAGAGCTTGATCATGTTGAGTTGTAACGTGTAAGCAATTTTTAGATCTGTGGTGCAGCCACTTCCTGTTTGCCGATAGTTTGAAATTTAGCTACTCAATGTACAAGGAAATTTTTTTGTCAAAGTTTTCTTGGCTTCTATGAAAAGCAATGATTTTATATTTGGTCCAGAGTTTGATCATGGTGAGTCGTAACATGTTAGCAATTTTTAGATCTGTGGTGCAGCCACTTCCTGTTTGCCGATTGTTTGAAATTTAGCCACTTATTGTACAAGGAAAATTTTTAGACCAAATTTTTTAGTTAATATTGAAGGAATTGAGCAAATATATGCAGTGACATAGGTCCAGACCAGTATTGGTCTTGAATGCTGGATACTATCAATGCATGTCTGTGTCCACACTTGTTTCATGACATCACAATAGGAAATTCAGAGGAAAGCATGCAAATTGAATTTCATAATCAAATTTTGACCAATGAATAGCTGGTATCAAACAAACCCCATGTTGATTAAATAAAGATAATCAATAGGTTAGGAAAACAATAAATCCAAATTCATTTATTGACTTCATTGTTATGCTTCAATTGTTTATTATGAGATGGCCGGTATACAAGTTGCAAAAAATATTTATTCTTGCATTTGTGAACAAATAAACTTGATGTTGTATTTTTTTACATAAACTTTTGAAGTGCATGATGAAAACAAGAGTGACGAAACTTTATCAGATGAGTCATGTAGATACAATTATTGTTCCTTATTCAAATTTAAAGGACACCGGACACTACAAACATTCTTTATATCAAATAAGTTCTGATCACCAATAAAACATTTATTATCATGTGGTTTTGTGTATTTCTCACCGGGGAAGCTGATAATCTACAAAATATACACAGATGTCCTTGATTGCTCTATTATGCATATTTTTAGATCGATATCGAGGCATGCGCATCCTACGTCACATGTGAGAGCGATAGAAAATGCTGTGTTAATTTTATAGCAAATATGCCTTATTATAAAGAATAAATAAACGGTTAATTGATAATGTCTAAGGTCTCTTTTATGTCTCGTATTTATACCATAATTGTATCATAATTATATATCTTCTGTAAAAATGAGTAAAATCGATAACTTGATATTTTGACTATTTTAAAAAATGGTTTATTTCGTAGTTTATGAGAGAGTTTAAAAGCAAAAGCAACTCCAAAAATAATAAATAATATATATATATATCGGTTTACGTTTTCGAATTATCCATAGACACCTCGTTCATAGCCCATAATTGCAGGAGACTAAGAATGTGCTCAATGTATTCCTTACATTTTACGGAAAGTCAGAGTAAGCCACCACCCAGCTAAACTATCAGATCTCGGATACACCGGAGTAAAAGTTTCACAAAATTTCGTTCTGGTTTCGATATTTCTTTATTTAAATGAGAAATGCAATGTTCGTCATTATATATCTATACATTTTCTATATAATATTTCCGGGCGACATCGGTAGATCTATTCAATGTTTCTAAAAAACGGGAATGATAATTTTGATAAAATTGGCAGTGATTTGTGTTAAAAAAACATATTCTTTTTTCTCCGACCTGGCAAAATAAATCTTTTACATTTTCAAACAAATTTTACGGCATTGAAATGTATATATCTGAAAATGAAAGGGGGTGGGGAAATGACCTCCAGAAGAAAGAAAAAACTGGTGTCTACTCAACTAAGGTGTCATTTATTTTAATTTAATCCCGCCTTTCTATGTCATTTATAATTTCTTATAATTTTAAATACATGTAAAACTATTAAAAAGTATACAATTATAGTATTAGTTAATTTCTTGGTATTGCTAGATTTTTTTTTATTCGAGCAGGGCAACTTTTTAATTGGCAGAACTTGGAGAATTTTATAAGCATTTTTATGTTAAATCAGCTAAATAATTATCTAAATTAAAGTTTTTTGTTTGTGAAATGATTATATGACATATTAAGAAACGAATATGTATCCCCTATTCGCCTTCGTTAAATATGATAAAATAAATCGTTTTTAAAAAAAGGGGTAAAACGTTCATAGCTCATTATAATGTTCTTATCCTGAATATTAATCTATAACTTGTCACTGAACGTTTAACAGCCATTCATATACCGGAACCCCTCAAATGGTTTAATGAATACGAGAAAAAATGAAACATAAAAAAATACTGACATGTATAACATATATATTTTGCAACTTCCCGCATAGTCATTGGTATACTGATTGATGTACAATGATTTTAACACTTTTAAAAATCATTTATTTAAATAAATTAACGGATCTTGCAAAAACATATATTCTGCATTTATGTATATTTGCTATTTTGAATATTGTAATTGATCTCAATCCCGTCTAAATCCATACTTTTAAGTTTTTTGATATTTTCCCTGATCAAACTAACGAAAGTATGAAAGTGACTCTCACACCTGACGTCACGCACAAAGTCGGAGGTTATCTTATTAATTGTAGGGATTACTCGGTACTTATCGGAACATATCAAAATTTGTGTAATTACTGACCGCGTGTAGCTTATCAGGTCACTGAAACACACAACGGAATGAAAATAATGAATCAACTCGTGATTATGAATTGAAAGAAGTAATGTTTATTTGAAGTGTCCGGTGTCCTTTAATGCTTTTACCAGAAGTGTATTATTAGCATCCCTTGTGTTTAAGAACAAAAAAACATTATTTTTTTCCTGTGTATGCAGTATGCATAATTTGTATATTGATGACAGGTTTATATGTCAACTTAAATCATATTTCCTATTGTCTATTTTAGGTTCTCGATTTAAAGGAAAACCAGCTAACTTGGCTGTGTAATCATTTAGGCCACACAAAGAAGGTTCATCTGGAACACTATCGCCAGATGAGTGGTTTTATAGAACGAGTTGAAATAAGCAAAATTTTATTAATACAGGATATGAACTTGACAGAAAAGTTCAAAGGGAAAACGCTCAAAGATGTTTCTATGAAAGGTAAGTAAAGTCATGAAAGTAAACTGAATCTTGTGACCCCAAGAACTTACCACAGTTTCATTTTGTAAACGTTGAAATCTTGGTTTGATTAACAATAAAGAAATATGAAAGACATACCAATTAAATTAGGATCAGGAATTTAAGTCTACACAGTATGATCCCCTTTTCTGTGCACCTTGCACCCTTCTGCTGACAGAGTATAAAAAACATTCTTTTCCATCATATCATCACCATTTTATGATTATCTTCATTTTCACAGTCAGAGTTCATTAACTCAATAAAGAACTCAAGAAATCACTAAGACAACAGATTAAAATTGTTGACACTTGTTTTTAGTTATTTATTGATAATAGGTAAGATTGCATAAAAGTGACAGGTAATCTTTGACAGTTCATTGAACTTGATTATAAGAGTGTTTTGATTTTCCTACAGGCTTTGGTTCATAAATGATATGAAACAATTAAAAGCATAATCTTATGAGTCCTCAATCCTGAAAGAAAACTTTTAGAAAACCTCAGAAAAAAGTACAATTTTGGGAAATTTTGGAGTTTTTCTATGTTTTTAAAATATATGATGTTTACCCTGTAAATGCATTAAAAAACTGTTAGGTTTTAAACCACAAACTTTTTATTTATATACATGTACAAATCAAAATTAAAGACTGATGGTTTATTTTTTTTCTAATAAATTTATTTTGAATGAAAATATGAAGTTTTGTCGAGCCTGTGACAGCTCAACATAGGGATAGTGAACATCTTAAAGCTTAATATTTCAGAAGGTATAAGACCTGATTCCTTCATACTATGTACATAGATGCCGTATGTTATGAAGTTTCCGTCTGTCATATGTCCATTGTCCTTGACCTAATTCCAACCCTCCCCTAACCTGGGACAGTGGTGTAATAGTACAGCATAAGAACAAACTATAAAAATTAGTTGAAAAAGGTTTAACTCATCAGATGGATACACTTAGAAAAACAAAAAAAGAGTGAAAGTGGCTGGGCACTTAAACATCCCAACAACAAAAAGACCATTTGTAAAGATCTGACAACTATAATAAGTCAATATTTCAGATACCATAAGCAATATGTCTTTATTTGGTGTATTGAATGATTGTAAGGTGTACATGTCCAACTGACAGGTGTTATCTGACCTTGACCTCATTTTAATGTTCAGTTGTTAAAGTTAAGTTTTTGTGTTTTGGTCTGTTTTTAGGAAGGTTTTTGAAAATAAGCATATACATGTAAGTCAATCAAAGATGTTGAATGTACCTTTTCATGTACCTTTAACAAACACATTTTCAGTTTCTAAAATTCATAGGTTTTGACCATGTCTGGAATAATAAAGGAACAATGTCAGAAGGAAAACTCATATCTGCAGTGGAAAATAGATTACAAGAAAGATATGAAAAATATTTCTTCTCACATTTATCAGACCAAAACAAATTACATACATATTATAAGCTCAAAAATGAATACAAACCTGAGACTTATACAAAGTTTAAAATCTCAAAACAATATGTTAGAAAGCTCTGTTAAGAATTTCTAACCATGATTTATACATCGTAAAAAGGCAGATATAATAATACACCTTTGGGTCAAAGAATGTGTAAACATGGTATTGATAGCAAAATTGAAGATGAGTTTCATTTCATATGTGAATGCAACATCTATTTATGAAGACATTGTCAATATTATACCATGTTTTTGTAATTAAGATAATTTTGATAAATTTAGATATTTAATTAAGTCTACGAAGACTGATGCTCTCAACAGATTTCTTATTTATAAAGACAAATGTATCATAAAATTTATGGATCAAGTTACAAAAACCGATTGTTTGTCCTTTTCCGTCAAAGCAGATTTTTCACAGGTGGTACAATTCATAAAATTTTGATCCACATTGTAAAGCAGCCATTTATGATCCATTTTGCCATGATTTCTGAAATTTTTCGATTTTTTTTTATCATTTTGATAGGCTTTATTTCAATCTTCTTTTTATTCATCAACTTCTGTAATTTTATTATCAGGCGGTTTGAAACCTTCCACAATTGTTGTCAGAGGGATGCTCATCTGAAATTATGAGTAATTTGTAAAATTGTGAATATCCCCAGTACTGTGCAATTGATTTTACAGGTACACAAAGCGTGATTGGCATGCAAACAGCAGTGTAATTGTAAAATTTCAACTGGTTTACCAGCTTACAAAATCTGCTAGATGGTTTGAATCTGATGCAAGTTCTACTGGTCCTAGACCACCAGACAAGGATTAATTTTGACCCCTGTATCACAATTTAAAATATGTGTTGTAGCTGTTCAAAACACATAAATAAATACCTATACATGTACAACTAAAATCACTTTAAGTGTTCTTATGTGAACCCTCTATTGTCTCTCATACTCTTTGTTTACTCGCATGTCAAGATCACCTTAAAACTGAGAAAGTAAGCATCACATTTCACTTTACAGCTCTTACATTTTATAGATTAATTGAATCAAATCGAGCAGGTGGGAAACTTTATTATTTATTTTATCATTTTGGTATTTTACAGACATAATCAATAGCAATCAAGGTCAAGGTGAACAGGAAGAGGAAGAGGAGGATGATGCACAAAAAGCAGCACAAAGTACTCTTGAAGCACTTGAAGACCCATGTCCACAAGACATAGATGATTATATTCCAGATGAATATTACTTTGACGAGGAAAATCAGGACTATGCAGGGGAGGGTAGTAGTACTTCAGTTATTGTTAAAAAGAGAAAATCTGCTAAAAAATGTAATAGAATGAAATGGACAGAAACCGAAGAAGAAGAAATCAGAATATATTTTAAGAAACATCTGGCAGCAAAGAAAACTCCTCGAAAGGAGGAATGTTTAAAGGTCTTATCTATCAGCAAAGAGAAAGGAGGAGAGCTTCACAGAAGGTACTGGCATACAGTAATTAAGAAGGTTTCAAACATGAATAAAAAGGATTGATTTATTTTGTAATACTTATGGAAGATTTTTTTAGGACTGCCACATTTTTTGTTTTTAATCTGTTTTTAAGTTGTTCATCATGTATTATTAAGTCTCTCCAAACAAGACTTATTGTTTTTGCTCAGTTCTTATTATTTTATTATTCTTCTTCTTTTTCTCCTTCTTCTTCTTCCGCCACTTGAACTATGAACTTGTTCACGCTTGTCAGATTAACTTAGGGTTTCATAAAATGTGAGAGGGGAGCCATCAATCTTTCTTTTGTGCATTAGGGTCTATTTAGGGGTATTTTGAGGGGCCAAAAGCAAGGAGTGGTTTACTATAGAACCCTATAGGATTTGTTTTTTTTTAATTTTCAAATGACTATAACTTAAAAACAGTAAGTGATAAAGACACACGGTCTTCAGTAATGATCACAGAAAAATAAAATAAAGCAAATACAATATAGGGTGAGTCCCTAGGAGTCATCCCCACCCCCTTCAATTTGAGAATGTTCTAATATCTTGTAAAAGGTCCAGATCCCCACCCCTAAACCATATATATTCTTGTATGGGACAATAAAACAAATCAAATGCAATATAGGGGGAGTCCCCGGGGGTCACCCCAACCCCATCCTGTTTGATAACTTGTAAACGGTCCAGATCCCCACCCCTAAACCATATATATTCTTGTATGGGACAATAAAACAAATCAAATAAAATACAGGGGGAGTCCCCGGGGGTCACCCCTATCCCCTCCTGTTTGATAATTTGAAAATGGTCGAGATCCCCACCCCTTAACCATATATAATCTTGTATGGGACAATAAAACAAAACAAATGCAATGTAGGGGGAGTCCCCAGGTGGTCACCCCCATCCCCTCCTGTTTGATAACTTGTGAACAGTCCAGATCCCCACCCCTTAACCATATATATTCTTGTATGGGACAATAAAACAAATCAAATGCAATATAGGGGGAGTCCCCGGGGGTCATCCCCACCCCATCCTGTTTGATAACTTGTAAGCGGTCCAGATCCCCACCCCTAAACCATATATATTATTGTATGGGACAATAAAACAAATCAAATAAAATACAGGGGGAGTCCCCGGGGGCACCCCCACCCCCTCCTGTTTGATAATTTGAAAATGGTCAAGATCCCCACCCCTTAACCATATATATTCTTGTATGGGACAATAAAACAAAACAAATGCAATGTAGGGGGAGTCCCCCCAGGGGGTAACCCCCACCCCCTCCTGTTTGATAACTTGTGAACGGTCCAGATCCCCACCCCTAAACCATATATATTCTTGTATGGGACAATAAAACAAATCAAATGCAATATAGGTGGAGTCCCCGGGGGTCACCCCAACCCCCTTCCTGTTTGATAACTTGAAAACGGTTGAGATCCCCACCCCTAAACCATATATATTCTCGAATGGGTCAATAAAACAAATCAAATGAAATATAGGGGAATATTGAGGGGGTCATTCCCTCCCCTGCCTGTTTGAGAACTTGTAAACGGTCTAGATCCCCACCCCTAAACCATATATAATCTTGTATGTGACAATAAAACAAATCAAATGAAATACAGGGTGAGTCCCTGGGGGTCACTCTTACTCCCTCTGGTTTGAGAACTTGAAACGGTAGAGATCCCCACCCCTAAACCATATATATATAATTGTATGGAACAATAAAACAAATCAAATGAAATAAGTCAAGATTCCAACAAAAATTTCCATTGTCATCAAATCCTTAAAAAGCAAGTGAGATCAGACAGCTTTAATGGGAAAAATTATAGGGGTAGTACCACAGGGTTTATAATTACAGGAACTTTGTTTGGGAGACTTTGTAACAGCATCCTGTTACAATCATGTATTTTCTTGTATGGAATAATAACACAAATCAAATGAAATATAGGGGGAGTCCCCAGGGGTCAGCCCCAACCCCTCCTGCTTGAGAACTTGTAAAGGGTCCAGATCCCCACCCTTAAACCATATATATTTTTGTATGGGACAAGAAAACAAATCAATTGAAGTATAGGCGGAGTCCCCTGTGGTAACCCCACCCCCTCTTGTTTGATAACTTGTAAACGGTTGAGATCCCCACCCCTAAACCATATATATTCTTGTATGGGACAATAAAACAAATCAAATGAAATATAGGGGCAGTCCCTGGGGGTCATCCCCTCTCCCTCCTGTTCCAGAACTTGTAAACGGTTGAGATCCCCACCCCTAAACTATATATATTCTTGTATGGGACATTAAAACAAATCAAATGAAATATAGGGGAGTCCCCTGGGGTCACCCTTATCCCCTGCTGTTTGAGAACTTGTAAACAGTAGAGATCCCCACCCCTAAACTATATATATTCTTGTATGGGACAATAAAATAAATCAAATGAAATATAAGGGGTGTCCCTTGGGTCACCCCAAAGCCCTCCTGTTTGAGAACTTGTAAACGGTCGAGATCCCCACCCCTAAACCATATATATGGTCGAGATCCCCATCCCTAAACCATATATATGGTCAAGATCCCCACAAAACTCTTATTAGAAAGGCAATCATTTCAAATTTTCATTGTAATCAAATCCTTTGAAGGCAAATGAGATCGGACAGCTATAATGTGAAAAATTAAAGGGGTAGTACCACAGGGTTTATAATTTTTGTTTTGGGAGACTTTGTAACAGCATCCTGTTACAATTATGTATTTTTTATAACTAGTTTTGTCTTGCCTCCAAGATATAGGCATTTAAAGGATGATTGTTTAGGGCCAATAATTAGTTTCCCATCTAAAAAAACAATTGTCACTAAGACCATCCAAAGGTAGTGATTTTAAAGATAAATTTATACAGCCCTATTTTCTATGCAGCTTTTAATGAAGGTAATTTTGTTTGTTGACTTTGTAAATTTGTTGGTTATCATGTTTAACTATCGGATTGCAGGAAGCAACACATACATACATGTTTGATAAGTATTCCCTCTTTTTTAGTGACATGACACAATTTGATGCTTGTAAATTGTTTAAGTTTTTGTCTTCTTACACCAAACGCAAAAGAATGAAATGGAGAGAGACAGGACTGTAATTAAAAGTATCGTTAGTTTCCCCACACCCTATCCCAGAATTTTGCTGGTGGGTTGTAGGGTATTTTTTTTTAGGAAGATGTATTGTCAGATATATAGAAACATAGCTGCTGGACTGTAGCTCTTAGGTTCCAATGAAATTTCTTTATTTTGGAGGACCATAAGCAAAGAGCTATGGATTTCCTTTGTTTAAACTTTTGGTATGTGACCCAGGTTTAGGTCACATATATTTGCAAGAATTTCATTATTTTCCACCTTTACATAGCTCGTACCTATCTGTTTTAGTATTCATATACTTGACACAATAATTTTATTATTTCTGTTTATTTATTTCTATGTCTATTTTGTTGCGCCAAATTGAATAAAATCAAGGAAAGATAAATCTAACCAAAAACATGTGTTGGTATAGAAGTATGTATTATTTTTTATGAAAATATTTATTATTTTTATTTTATTTTGGGACTTTTTGAATTAAAGTACATTTAATGAATGATAAAACTAATGGAAAAACTATTCAAACGAATACTTTGCTGTATTTTTGTGTTTATAACTGTTCCAAAGAAATAAAATCACACGATTCCTCCTATCCAGTTCATATTAAACAAACCAACACATGTTTCTGGTTTGAGTTATAGTTTCATGGGAAAACAAACCTATCTTTTTTTTTGCCAGAGGAGAAGAAATCAGAAAATATTTGTTTTTGAGCTGTGCTTAGTCTTGATGTAAAATGCACACATTGTTCATCATGTATTATTATACTAGTTTTGTCTTGCATCCAAGATATAGGCATTTTAAGGATGATTGTTTAGGGCCAATAATTAGTTTCCCATCTAAAAAAACAATTGTCACTAAGACCATCCAAAGGTAATGATTTTAAAGATAAATTTATACAGCCCTATTTTCTATGCAGCTTTTAATGAAGGTAATTTTGTTTGTTGACTTTGTAAATTTGTTGGTTTTCATGTTTAACTATCGGATTGCAGGAAGCAACACATACATACATGTTTGTATAAGTATTCCCTCTTTTTTAATGACATGAAAAAATTTGATGCTTGGCTGTAAAATGTTCTTGAAATGATGATTTAGTCTAGTCCCAGAAAGTGCTTTATTGAAAATTTACATTTTTGTTATGCCTTTTTGATACCACAAATATCTTAAAATGACAAAAGTTGTTAAGAATATTTAAGACTTGAAGAAAGTTCACATATATTTTATATTAAAAATGAAGCTTTTAACTATTTTTAGAAGAAACTATTTACTATTTTTCAAAGCTGTTTTGTTTCTGATGGAAGAGAAAACTTCTGATTGTTTGAATTTTTTATTGGATAAATATCTCATTATAGATTTTTTGTTTAAAAATAAATATGGTCATGTTGAGGTTGTATCTAGAGATATTTTGTACAAGTTGTTATATTTGTAAACATTGATTTTTGTCTCGCCTGTTACACCAGACTTCAGGATAGTGATATGGCAGAGGCAGGTTGGCTCTTGACTTAAAAGCTTTTTTAAAAATATTTCAGAAGATATAAAACTTGGATGCTTAATACCTTCTGTAAAGATGCCTTATGTTATGAACTTTCAGTCAATTATTTGACCCTTTTCCGTGACCCCATTTTCATGGTTCTGTGGCTACTTGAAAAGAAGTAAATTTTTTTGTTACTTTTATTTCATTCTTACTATAGGATAACAATATTTTGTATATGTGTACCTTGCAAGGTCCTGAAAATGCTGATCATGTATGTCAGATAGATATCAATTGACTTTTTTCATGGATTAACGAACAAGGTTAAGTTTGTGTGGTCAAGTCCATATCAGATGCAATAAGTGATATGTCATCTATATTTGGTTTATGGAATGATTCTAAGTTGTACATGTTCAACTTGTAGGCTGACCTTGACATTATTTTTTTTTGTTTGGTGGTTAAAAGTGTAGTTTTTGTGTTTTGGTCTATTTCTCAGATGTTATAAGCATGTAGTCAATGCTATAAGCATATAGTCAATTATATTTGGTGTATGGTGTATTTGTGTGTCTGGCAGTAATAATCTAACACTGAACTCATTTTTATGGTTCATTGGTCAATGTTTATTCTTTCTTCTTTGGTCTTTTTTTCAGACGCTTAAAGGAAAAGGTGAACTATATTTGGATTATGGATGATTGTAAAGGTTAAAATTTGTCTGTCCTGTTTCCTCTGACCTTTGGTTCATTAGTCAATGTTGAATTTCTCTGATTTGGTCTGTTTTTCAGATATTTTAAGGATAGTAGAACTAAATTTGGTGAATCTAATAATAGTAAGTTGTGTATGTATGTCTGGCAGGTGTCAGTTGACCTTGACCTATAGAAAATAAAGGAATATGAAGTAAATGTACATGGGACAAAATGGCAAACAATACATTGAAAAAATAAGTAAATATCTATGAACAGTGCTTTTATTCCTGTTCTTCATCTTAACAGTATATGTAGTGTTTTCAACAATGAAATAATCACTCTTACCCATTAACATTCATTATTCATTGGTCAAAGTTTAAATTTTTTATGATGACTGTTCTGAGACCAATCAGTTACCTGGAATGATTGTATGGCTTTCATTTCTAACTTAAAAGGGTCTATCTCACCTTGCAACATATACAAAGACCATTGTAAATGCCTGTGGCATCAACTTCTTTTTTTTACTATCAACATAAATTCAATTATAAACACTTAAACAGGCAAGACATTTCAATGTGTTCACTCTTGTTGTATTTTGATACATGTTTCAATAAAAAAAAAAATTTC